GACTAAGGGGGAGGCGCTTGCGAGTCAGGCGTCCGGGAGGGTGTGAGTGTGTGTCTGTGTGTGCTACGCGTATGTGGTTGTGCCGTGCCACCTCTTCGCGAGCGCATTGCAGCGCGGCTCTCTCGGCTGGCTAGGGAGGGAGCGAGCGAGCGAGAGCGAGGGGAAGCCGCCGGCGTAAGATCGGGCTGTGAGACGGGGATTGACACGAAGGATTAAAAAGGCCTCACCTTTCTGAGCTCTGAGTCAGCAAAGGGTGGAACAGGTTCGTTGCTCTTCTTTTTCTTCCGTCTCTCTCGTCTTTTCCGCCTTCTTTCTCTTCCTACTCAAGCCACCACGACTTTGGTAGAAGCTGGAACTTCTGAAGGAGAGGACATCGAAGCCACGTTAGTGGAGGCGCCATCTGGGTGAACTTCAGCCTTCTCCAGCCTCGTGCCTTCCGGGTCTCCTGGACTTGGAGTCCCATCCTTCCCAGCCTGCACCAGGCATGATGGCTGAAAATAAGGGGCGCTGGAATCCGGCAGATCCGGAGGGCACAGGACTGAGGAAAGCTGGGGTAGATCCTCTCTGTGTTTGTTGGAATAAGGGTTATCATTCCCACATTTTCACCTTGGGTTTAGAGCAGTTTTCAAGTCTGGGGCCCCCCTCCTGCAGGGCTATCACGAAAATTGTAGTCCAGCCTATTTAAAGCATGCAGGGTTGAGGAAAACTCTTTTAATACAGCTCCAGCTTTGAAAGACTTAAAAGAGGAACAGCGTGGGTGGGGAGCACCCCCTTCTTTGCACCCTTTATTTCACTTACCAGGGATTAGTTGCTTGGTAGGTTTGCATCACAGATGCTTGAAGGTGCACTGAATTCCAGATTATCACAAAATGTTGCGGTCTGCTTGTGTCCTTGGTGCTCAAAGTCAAGGTCACTTTGAAGGCCCTTTTTTTCCTTTGAACAAGCAATTAAACTGTAGCAACACACATGCACGCCCTAAGGTTGTTATCCTAAATCTGTTTTTCCAGGGAAGTAAACCCTATAGATCTTATACAATTGTGCTATGGGTAATTATGATTTCGTTGGTGACTTGGAGCTCAAGGAAGAATCCAGGGTGGTTTAGATGCCATTCTGATTTGCACCGATCAGCCGCAAAGCCATTATTCAGCTACAGCAGTGATTATGGTTGGACTCGTGCAGATTTTTTTTTTAAAAAAAATTATTACAAAAAGAAGAAAGAAATATATAAAGGACTCGTGCAGATTAAAAAGACTCTCTCATCTGTCTTTTGGGGAGGATGAAGTGATGAGAAAGGAGTAGCTCTTTCTGATTGCGTCTTTCCAGCATCTATGAATGAAACAGGAGTGTCTTTTTCTCCCTTCGGCGGTGCAGCAAGAACAGAAATCTTCAAGGTAACAGCCTCTAGATGACCTTTGGATGTTTACCATCATCTTGTTCTACCTCTACCTCTTGAGAGTTTTATGTGTGTATATAAGTGAAGGATGGGAGTGGTAAAGGCTTTTTTTCCCCCTTTAACCCTCCTTAACCAGGAAGCAGCCAAATGAAAAGCTAATCAAACTCCAACCAAGGAAAAGTGTACTGATTCAGTGCACTAATTAATTAACTGCGTATAGCTTAGCAGCATGGGTCTGTCTGTAGGTATTGCTCTCCGTTCTCTTTTAATTTAAAGCAGGGGTGAGCATTTTTCATGTCATGGAATTTACAGTGGGTGGAATTTAGTTTGAAGTCAGGAGAAGGGGGTTAACTAGTTCATTTCCATGTCATGCTAAAGCCATGGTTTCTTTCAACTATGGTTAAGCAAACAATAATTGGCTGGGTTCACACATCATACAAACCTCTAGGGTGTTGTGCTTGACATTTCCTTTTCAATGTGGCTTTTAAGAACTTTAACATCTTCACTTTGAGCTCAGCTCAAGTCCAGATGACTTCATGGACATGTATGTCTGGGCAATTTTCTTGAAAACAAGTTTGGAAGTGATTTGCTGTTGCCTTCTTCCAGAATTTTTTTTAATTAATATTTTATTTTCCCAGTCTAGCTACAGCTCTTATTGGTCTTCTACTCAAGCACTCCCCAGCCTGGTCCTGTTTAACTTCTCATCTCAGACAAGGTCAGCCAGATGGTGCCACCTGGGGAGGTGTTTTAGCAGCTATAGTGGGAAATCCTGCCACTAGTGTGGGAGAATGCATGTGCTAAGATAAAATACAGCCACTTTGCATTTTCTGAATTTTTGCATATCTTTACCTCTGAATGTTATCAGTTTCACGTGGATTCTACTAATATATAAAAGGAATCTAAGTGAACAACTATCTCCAAATATGGTGCTTGGTTGATTTATTTCATAAACAGTCATCCCAGATGTGACATGAAAAAGTAACAGGCTTCTTAGAGTCAAGAATTGTACCCCCTTTTGCAGCAATAATTGCAACGATGTATTGCCTGTAACCAGTGATCAGTCAGATCGCTGCTTAGGAATTCTGGTCTATTCCTCCATAACAAACTGCTTCAACTCAGTAGCATTTGAGGGATTTCTAATATGAACTGCTTCTTTTAATTCTTGTCACATTTCTATGGGGTTGGGTCTGGCTTCACCTTGTTATTTTCAAAGCACTGAATTTGTTCTTTGTCCTTCCTTTTTAGGCTCTTTTGTATGCTTGGAACCATTGTCTTGCTGCATAATCCACATGTGGTTCAACTTCCGTTAATGATAGATGGACTGATATTCTCTGGTAGAGCAGAAATCATGGTTTCTTCAGTTATGGCAAGCCATCCAAGTCCTGAAACAACAAACCAAACCATGACACTGCCACCACCATGCTTGACAGTTGGTATGATGTTCTTATGGAATATGGTATTTGGTTTCCTCCAAAGATGACATCACCAGCGTAGACTGAAAACATCCATCTTTTGCTCATCTACCACAGAACATTTCTCCATAGGTCTGGAGGATCACCCAAGTGCTTTTTGGGAGACCTGACATCACTATCAGTGTTCTTTTTCTATCTTCCTAATCTCCCATGAATCCCATTTTTACCCAATATTTTTCTGATGATGGAGTTGTGAACACTGACTTTAGCTGAGCCAGGAGAGGCCTGCAAATCCCTGGATGTTTTTTCTGGAGTTCTTCATAACTTCCCAGTTGTATGCTGCACTCTTGGAATTATTTTGACTGGGCAGCCACTCCTGAGAAAGTTTGCTATTGGCCCAGGTCATCTTCATTTCAAACATACATCTCTTGACTATGGATTGATGGAACCTTAAAGCTTTAGAAATGGTTTCGTGACTTTATCCAGATTGCTATCCATTACTGATTTATGGTGATCCTCAAGTTCTTTGGAGCAACATGTAACATGCCTGTAGAATCTACAGTATGTGGTGAAAACTTCAATATGATGAAGCAAGTTAAAGTTTACGTAGGACATGGATGGCGCAAATCAACCCTGATAGTTTAACAAAATAATCACACAATGATCCCTAATTATCTATTGAATTGAATTGATGAAACCAGGAGGCACAATTACATTCTCACCCAGGCACTTTGCATGTTGGACAACTATTGTTGATGAAGTGAAATGAAATAAGCACCAAACTTTAGAGATATTTGTTCACTCAAACTTCTTTTATATATCAGTAGAACTGATATGAATCTCTGGTAAGATTCACTGATAAATAAATGCAAACTTTCAGAAAATTCAAATGCTAACTCACAGATTTGTGCCTCTCTGTCATGTATTTCTTTAGTAACAAAGGAGGTAGGTCCCTTGGAATGCTCTTTTCAATTATTGTTTATTCTTTGTATTTAAACTTTCATAATGAGTCATATAATTTTGGCAGTCTTCCTAACCTGATATCCTCCAAAGGTATTGGACTTCACCTGCTATAAATCACAATCAGAATCTCCAAAAGGCAACAGGCTGAGGAAGGTCATCCTTGGCTTTGACAAGATTACATTTCTCTATACTCCCTGTTCCCTGTTGCAACTCTTGAGAGCAATTTAATTTTCCTTGAGAGCAAACTTGATTAAAATTTGGTATGTTTGTCCCCATCCAGATATAATCAAGCTTGGATTTGGTTTAGTGATTCCAGCTGATCATCCCAGGTTTAAAAAGTGCCCCTTGTTCTATACTTCTGAAGATCTTTAAAGCAGAAGATCAGTCATTTATTTGGAAATGAACTGGTATACAGAGAAAAATCACTGCACAGTTTCTTCTGCTAACAAAATTTTGGTTGGGCATTCCCAAATGGAGAGTTAGTTAGTAAAAGAACAAAGCCAGTTCAAGTCTGAGCTTTGCCATGTTTTGTGGGTTAATTCCAAATGAAGCTTAAATATGCAAAACTACCTTTCTGTTGTCTTTGTCACCACTGGAATTTTGACTATAAGTTCCTTATAGCCCATATGGGTGGTAGATTTGTCGTTCTGTAAAGTTTCATGTCATTATGCGTCAATCCCAAACATATTTGCTTAAAAATAATTTGTTAAATTCCGTGAAATGTATTTCCAGTTGTTTTCATTTAAGAACAACTTTCTTAGAAAAAGTGCCATTGGTGGACTAGCACAGATCTCTTTTATTGTACTTGGTTTCCAAACTTCTCTCAGTGTAAATATCACTGTATTTATTTCATATTTCTAATTCATGTATCCCTAATTGTCTTAGACATTTTCCAGATGAGGTGTACACTTAGTCTTTGAATGGTGGGCTAGGCGCAGCATCCTAAAGAGTGGTTGGAACCAGGAGGAAGACATCAGTGGGCACAGAGTAAAGCTACATTTAATTAAAATCCATTTTATTTACAATTTGACAGCAATTTTTAGAGTGATTCTGGGAGCTACACCCAAGGCTATGGTGATGGGTTTCATGCACTCTTAGGGCATGAAGCATTGCGCTTCTCTCTTAGATCAATTTCATATTAAAATATAATTGAAATCATTTTTGTTTGCTTTATCTTTCCAGTTTCATATTCTGGTGTTCTTCAAATGACATTTAAATTTTACATTTAAAAAACAAGAAAACCACAAAACACGTTTTAATAGCTGTAGTTGCTAATTGCAGAGAAAGGGGGATTGGAGTAAGCATGATATTGCAAATCTGAAATAATTGTTCATAAATCAACACTAACTATGCACTTGCTCCAGATTCCAGCTAGTAAGTTTACCATTACAATGTTTACACTTAGAAAAGAGGATGCTATAGAAAGGAGAGATTAGATTTTTTTTATATACACTTTGTCACAAAATTGCAACACTAAGTGAAATGTGTAATGTTTGATTTGGTCAATAGTTTATTGCTAATGACTATGGATGATTCACAGGCCTTAATCATGTGGGGACTATATGTCTAACTTTATGTGTCTCAGTACCTCAGTGACTTCACTGAAGTTATTTTAGACAGAAAACTTACCTAGAGAATAGAGAGCTATGTTTTTTCTATTCCTTTGATTGGCATATCCATATGGTTTAAACACTGCATATAAGTATTGTTGAGAAATAAATTTAATTAAAATAAATGCTTATCTCATTGTAGAGTAACAATAATATGTTTAGCAGCAACTTCAGTAGCCATGTTATATTTTTCTATTGAGGTCATCCGTAACTTTGGCCTGATTCTTACCCAGGTAGTAAGGTGGTTCTGATTGTATTACATCTGGACATACTTCATGTATTATTCATTTGAATGAATATATGCACATTTCAGGTTCAAAGGCAATTTGTTACTGCTGGAGTCCCCCACATTGAACCCAAAAGTACTAGTGTATTCATGAATCTCTCTCTTGTTATTTACCAGTCATCTTGCCCCTTTCTACTTTTTAATTTTCCAAAGATTGTTTATTTATTTATTAGATTTACATCTCACCTTTATTTTGTACAACACAAGCAAGTGTACATAATGTTCCCTCCTCCTACATTCCCCCCAAAAACAAGCCTGTGAGGTGGGTTGGGCTGAGAGAGAGCAATTGGCCCAAAGTCACCCATCTTGTTTCCATGCCTAAAGGAGGACTAGGAACTCACAGTCTCCCAGTTTTAAACCTATCCTTATTATGGTTGTTTCTGCACAACAATGTTTGGGTCACTCTAGAAGACACTCTTGAGTTACTAGTGAGTGAGTCTTGCCTAAATTAGGCTACTTGCCAAGAGCACATCCTCTCCCCCAAAAAGACAATGGAAAGCTATGAGTTGAGAATACATATCCTGGAGGGTTCAGAGTATGTGGTAGAAGCAACTTAATCAGTTTATGTTCTGGTAAATTGGAGTTTTGTGATAGGCTTCACCTGCTCCAACAGCCATTGTGGGAATGTACAAGCTCTCTCCTTATTTGGTATTTTCTTTGCCCACAAAACGCTTGAAGAATATCAAAGGTGCCACCAGCCTCCCAAATTTCAGCATTTCTCAATGACAGCTGTTGGGCAGGAATAGTTGCCTTGTGTCCTACGTGGGAGCTTCTCAAAAGCACCTGCTTGGCCTCTGTGAAACTGGGATGATGGGTAAAATGATCCAAAATGATCTGGCTTTGCTTCTGATAGAATGTAACTTCCATCCCAGAAATCCACTGCATGTAGAGACCTGGCCTTGCTGTAGGGACTTTATAAAAAAATTCCAGGTTTGATTATTACTTTTTTAATTCCAGGTATGGCTGGTAAAATGCCTGCCTGGAAAGTGGAACATTTGCAGCCTATCTGTATGGCTGGTATTATGCTAGACGACCAGATGTTTAGGCATAAGGAGGCTGCCTCAGTTTCGAAGACTGTTCCTTTTCTTGTCTCTTGAAATGGAATTGAGATGTTTAGTTGTTTCTGGTGTTGCTGTTATTACTGTTTGCATGTGTATCGTCTCTTTTCTCTGAGAGCTCAAGGGAGCTGACAGCAGTAACCCTGTGAGCTCAGTTGGGCTGAGAGAGATTGACCCAGGCACAGGGGCAGCCTTAAACCTGAGTCATCTTTGTTTAAGTCAGGCACTTTAGCCACTACACTACCCTATACAAAAAGTGACGAATTTTTAAAACAAAAATTTAATTTAATTATGCAAATGCCAATGAACTTAGATGTCAGCCCTCCCAAAAGACGTATTACTTATTCATTCCTTTCATAACAACTGCAGCCCTGGAATGAAATTGATTCTAGTTGCAACCTGTTCAGAGATGAAAGTCTGATCCGTCAGCAGTACTATCTCTGTTTCCATGTCTGTCAATATAGGACATTACTGGTTGAAGTGGGACAAAATTCTTGGATTACCATAAGATTGGCAGATCAGTGACTATCGCAGAACGTCTCCTGTTCTCCAACTTCTGTAGATACAGTAATCCTGCATCTCTTGGTCAATTTGGAATGTATTTCCCATCTAAGAGAACTGTGGTCATGAGTCAGAGTCTTAGTTCAGTAAAAATTCCTGCTTCCCCATTCAAAGTGTGTAATTTCACTTTTGGTATTGCAACAGACAATTGTCAATGAAATTCATAGCTTAATACTCATTTGACGAGTATGTCCTTTACTTAAAAAAAAATTCTGGCCAGGGCTTTCACTATGCATAATTAAGCTATAAAATTTTACAGAAGTACATGACACAACCAACATTTCAATCAAGTCCATTTAACTTCTAGATTAGGCAATGTATATCATATCAGTATGGGGAAGGGTTGAGTACAATGTAATTAAAGTTGTTCATAAACATACAAAAGAAGGTAGAGACAGAGCATTGTTTCTTTGTCTGTCTTCAACTGTTTACATATGTAGGGAGATTTTTTTTCTGTTTTATCTCTTCACCAAATGAAATATGACTAGCATCTATCCAGAAATCATCCTCCCACCTTTCTCCTTGTTATGCTGCAAAACCAGTTAAGGTTCTACCAAACTGAAAAACATCAACATAATAATAACCAACTGTGGAGCACCTTTTCAGATTATCTCTATTCCCAGAGTTGTTGGTTATTTAAATAATAACAATAACAACAGCAATTCTCCAGATTAAATAAATAAATAAAAGGCCATTTTCCTCCTTAACAGCCACTACGGTTTTAGACTGACCTATTAGATCAGTGATGGTGAACCTATGACATGCGTGCACACCACGACATTTTGGGTGACACAACAGCATTCACCAACACCCAATCACAACTATTCTCCCTGATTAAGTTACCAAAGAGACTATGTTTGTTTTACTCACATTTCATTTTTGTAATTATTTGATGTTTCTTTATATAATAAAGAATTCATTTATTTAAAAAAATACAGTCCAATCACATGTGGTGACACGTGATTGGACTGTATTTTTTTAAATAAATGAATATGTAAGGAATTGTTTCTCTCTTGTTCAGGGAGGGGAAGGTGACACGCCAGCAGAGTCAAGTTAGGCATGTTCTGAATTTTTGACACGCCAAGCCGAAAAGGTTCACCATCACTGTAATAGTCTTCTCCAGCCCATCAAGCCTCTGGATATGTTGGGCCTGTAGTTCTGAGAATGATCGCTGAGTATCTTGGAAGTTACATTCCCAGAGTTTCTGAAGGGTGCCAATTTGGAGAAGTTTGGAGAAGGCTTTATCTGACCTATCAATATTTGAGCAAAGACTCTGTAAAGAATCTTACATGTTGTTGGAAATAACACTCTTTTTATTTTTGTTTATTTGTTTGTTTATTTATTTATTTATTTATTTATTTTTGCCTTTAAGACTTGTAAGGAACATGGCCATGATGTTGCAATATTACTGGAAGAAATGCATGTTACTAATTATTTGCTTTTTAAAATAAATGAAAAAATACACTGCTGCCATTTGGCCGTTTGCTGCCAAATATTAGTATGATCTGGAGATGCTCCAGGATCCTGCAAAAAAAAAAAAAAATAAAGAGTGAGTCCACCTTTGCCTTGCTTATCTTTGCATTAAATACTAGAGCTCCGGTTTGGATTGCTCAAAATTTAGCAGAGAATTGATCATAGTGTAAAGATAAATAATGCCTGCCCACCTCAAATCCCCTTTTCCTGAATCAGGAATAGGCAGCAGTCAGAGCAAAAAACAGTATAACTATAGAAATCTGTAAATAAATACATACATAACATATATACATATGTACGTATGCATGGGAATAAGCAATTCTGCAGATTCACATAGCATCGTGGCTGGAGATGAGAGAGGGGATGCCAATCTGGATTACAGGCCTATGCACTTACTTCTGAGTAAGCAAAGTCATCAGGCCCTGTGCAATCCATATTGAGTGTAATGGGTAGGTTGACTCGAGAGACGCAATTTTTAGAAGACTGCTGAATGTGACATACTGAGTGCCAACTGAATCAATTTAAATTTGGTGTTGACTCTTAAAAAAATTACTTCTAAGACGGTGGGGGTTACCATCAAGACATTGTGTAACAAGAAGGCAGGTACTTTCTTAGATCTATAGCCAGGATTTGACCCCTACTTAAACTAGGAGAAGAGTATCCTCCTAGGACCTGCTGTACCAAGTTTGTCACACTTCCCCCAGTAACTGCTCAATCTCCCTCTCCCAAATCAAAACAAAATGCATTGGTTCAGAAGTCAGTGGAAGTGCATAGTCTTGACAATCACAGAGCATTTTTTCCTTGTCAAGAGCTAGGACTAAGATCCTGAAATCTTTGATAGGAAACTGATGTTTTGACTCATTTCCTAAGAAAGAACCATGTTCTGAATCAAAGGATTTAGGAATTTTTAATCCCTGACACCAGCGTAAAAGATACTTCATAGAGCTATGGAAATATGGATTAGAACTGCAGATGTCTAGGTAGCCACCAGATGGCAGTAAAGAGCTACAGAACATTCTGACCACCTACAGACCACTTTGCTGCCACCTGTTGACCAATTAGATTTTGGACTCCAAATGAAGTAGCCCTACTTGGCAGTTAAGTAAGATCCTTCTCTAAATTGTTATCTTAGGTATAGGAAATACTTGTTAGTGTCACGAGAAACCTCTTACTAAGGCAAACGAACTTAAAAGCAAGTAGGAAGTGCAATAGCGCCACAGTAGTAGATTTGCTACTCTTTTTTTTTTTCCTGTGCTTCACCGTTGTTCTAAGTAACTGTTAGGTGGTACTGCAACTATAGCTCAACAATACTCAGCTAATATAAGAAATTGGTAGAGGTGCACTGAAATCCATAAAAGTTCTGATAATGATCTAACATTTAAATCTCAGCATCTTGTTGCTCAAAAGTAGCAACAAGAGACGCTCTCAAATTGTCCAGCCTGTGCTTTCTGTCTCTCCTTGTTGTCGTTTCATTACCTAGATTGCCACCTTTGGCAACTATAGTTTTGCTGCACACACTTTCTTTTTAAAAACCTTGGAACACTGATTCATCAAACAGATGTGGAATTTTTTGCTTACTTATACTCTAGGCTGTCTATAAATAACCTGGAGAAATACAGTGGCTTGGCAGACTTCACACAACAGGAAGAAATGACTAATGAGGAGCTACTCATCCTGTACTTATATGTATGTCTCTGTGTGTATTTATGTATGCATGCC